CTTTGGAGTCAGACTTGGGTTCAAATATTGGCCCCAAAGCTCTTGTATACATTTGGGGAAATTGCTTACCATTTCACAGCCTCAGCTTCCTTATCTGTTATGATTGGGTTGGTGATGCTATGATTTCATAATGACATTGCGAGGTGAGGATAGAATGCATACAGATCACGTAACATACCCCTGACACACAATAGTTGCTCAATCCATAACTGTAGCTATCACCAGTTTATTCATCTTTAAAATTGGATGATCTTATCACTATAGTAGGGTTATCACAAGGACAAAATGGTAGGTGACTTATCGGTGCTATGAGAACAGTGGGAGAGCCGCTCCCTTGAGGAGAAGGCTTCCTAGAGAAATGATGTCTTATCTGAAATGTGAAGGATGTGGAGCATTAGCCAAGCCAAAAGGGTGAAGGAAACATGTCTTTAATGAAATGACCAACCTTCGATAACATTTTCGTTATACTTTTGTCACACTAGTGATAGCATCCCTTGTCATATATGATCATTTATATCAGAAACTACATTTTGTTTAGCATTAAACTTCCTCGGGACCCTCCTGTCCTTTGAAGTCCACATTAACAGAAGGCTGCACACATAATAGGTGGGTTTTTTAAATATTTGTTGGGCCCTATGTGGTATGTCCATATATTATTATTTTGGAACACATCCTCTGAGAGGGTAATTCCTTAACCAACGTCACCAACAAATAGGAGTGCAGAGTAGACCAGAACAGAGGTCTCCTGACATATTCTAGGGCAATTTCTGCTAGATATCCTAAGGCATCTTTCTTTTTCCTTTTTCTTTTTTGAAGTTAATTTCTTTTTTTTCTTCTTTAAAATTTTTTTTTATTTTACAAGTTACCTTTCTTTGAATGGCATCTTTAGTTAGACCAAAATTAAGTGATTACTGATAAATACTCATATAGGAATAAACAACAAAAGGAAAAGCAGATAAATTAGACTACATCAAAATTAAAAACTTTTGTGATGCAAATTATACCAACAGGAAAGTGAAAAGACAGCTCACAGGATGGGATAAAATATTTGCAAATTATATATCTAATAAGGAAATGGCATTTAGAATATATAGAACTCCTACAAATCAATAAGAAGATAAATAATCCAACTTAAAAGTGTTTTTAAAATCCTCTTTAAAAAGGATTTGAATAGTCACTTCTCCAAAGAAGGTATACAAATTTGCCACAAAGCAGAAGAAAAATGCTAACATCATTATCTATTAGGGAAGTGTAAATGAAAACAGTAATGAGACATCACTCCACACTCATTAGGATGGCTATAGAGAAACAGAAAGAGAGAAAGAGAGAGGGAGGGAGGGAGGGAGAGAGAGAGATAAAGGAAGGAAGGAAGGAAGGATGGAAGGAAGGAAGGAAGGAAGGAAGGATGGAAGGAAGGAAGGAAGGAAGGAAGGAAGAGAGAAAGAGAGAGAGAGAAAGAGAGAGAAAGAAAGAAAGAGGAGAAATTAAAGAAGAAAAATAAGTTGGAAAGATGTGGAAAAATTGGAACCCTTATACATTACTGGTGGAAGTTTCACTTCTAGATATATACCCAAGAGAAATGAAAACAGACATCTACACAAAAACATAAACATGAATGTTCATAGACGTATTACTCATAATAGCTGAAAAGTGGAATAGCCCAAAAGTCCATCTATTGATGAAAAGATACGTCCATATAACAGAATATTATTTAGCAATAAAAAGGAATGAAGTGGCAATACACACTACAACAGAGATGAACCATGAAATCATTATGCTAGGTGAAAGAAGGCCATCACCAGAGATCACACATTGTGTGATTCCATTTACATGAAAGTCCAGAATAGGCATCTCTGTAGAGAAAGAATGGCGACTGCAGTGCGACGAATGGGCAGGGTAGGGTGGGGTGTGGAGAGTAACTGCTAATGGGGAAAGGATTTGGGGAGGGTGATGAAAATGTTTTAAACTTAGATTGTGGTGATGGATACTCAAATCTCTGAATATGTTAAAACCATTTAATTTGGTGAATTTTGTGATACGTGAATTACATCTCAATGAAGATGTTTTTAAAAACCAAATATATATATTTAGTTTCAAAAGCCAGGGGGCTCATGCACCCTTATCAGAAGATAGTAGAAACTTGAAAAATCATCGCACTTCCGAGATCTTTTTGAAACATTATTGACATTTTAAGAAATTTATGTATGCATATATTCCTTGAATACATGATGAATAAAGCTACTTTTTTGATTTAAGTGAAACTAGATTGAGTAAACTCAAAATGGAGTTAAGTCTGTTATAGTGATATGATACCATTGAAGAGTTATTTGACTTTCTCCATTTATCATGTTAAATTTTTATAGCCTCTTCTGAATTGCTTTTTGGGTATATAAAGTTGTGGTTATATTTGCTGGGCAATATTTAAGTGTTAAGGCATAATACCCAGCACTTACAGTAATAGATGGATACCCTTCTTCAATTGTTCTTGTAACTGATGGTAATAGATATACCTCCATTAACATAATAAGATCATTCCATAACTATTTTAATGCACCAGCTGGACACAGAGAACAACTTTGATTTCTTGTCCAGTGTCATTTTAGACCTGGCCTGAAAACTTGTTTTTTCTTGCCACTTGGATGACACCTTGAGTATTCACATGATAAAAACTCATCCAGTCATTTTTAGTTACAAATATAATCTCATTTTATCAACAACAATATCGAGTAGAGGATCGTAATAAAATTCTAGACTCGTGCCTAGTTAGTACTCTTTCCCTCTTACAGCTCAAGTCTGCATTGTGTCTGGAAGCCTGGAAGCAGGCAGAGGTGGGCAGACACATCACCCTCTTTAGCCTACAAGCTAGCTATGTTTTCTGATCCCCCCAGATCAGGCTTAGGAGTGTGGACTGGAAACCTGGAGGGTGAATTTGGAATCCTCAGCCAAGGGGGCATGAGAGGACTGAAATTCTGCTCACATTGTGTTCAGCAACCCACATGCCCTGGCATGGGGCTGTGTTCACTGGGGAGAAGAGGCACCCTTCAAATTTGCAGACGACTACCGTCTGTTCACAAGTCTTTTGCTCATGGGGTGGGGCTGCATCTACTTCAAGAGAGGACCATTTACTACTCTTTTTAAACTATGAAACTTCCAACCTGATAAAGATAGAACTCCTCTATACCGTCACTGACCTTAGACAATTATCAAATCTTGGGAATGTCTTTTCATTTCCCATGAAGGCGTTATTCTTTGGGTTCCCAGATGCCTTGAAGGCACTGCGTCTAAATTTGCTTCAATGACTATCTCTGTTCCTTCCAGCTACATAATCCCTCCCTCTACATCCCCACTGATTGTCTAAATCACTCCTGCCCTGCTCTACTCATCCCTCCATCCTTTGAAAACCCAAGCACTCAGCACCAGTTCTTTGGGAACTTTTCTAATGATAAGCTATGTTCTTCCCATCTTTTCCTTTCCTCTTTCTTTCTTCCTTCCCTTCCTCCCTCATTCCTCCCTCTCCTCCCTCCTTCCTTTCTCCCCTTGTTCTTTATTTCCCTTTCTTTCTAATTTAAATTTTCTTCCCAACTAATATATGTATCTGGTTTAAAAAGTCAAGTGGCATAATTCTTTTAAGTAAAAAGAATAGTTCCATACTTCCCATCGCCTAGTTCTATGCCTGAGAAAGATGACTTTCCATTGCTTTGCCTGTCTCCTCTGCCATTTACCTCCATGTTTCCAAATAATGTGCTTATATTGCTATTTCTGGACTTTTTTCCAATTTTATAAATTGTCTATTTACTTCATTCTAAAAACGACCAGGATTTAGTAGTCTGATCGCATTGCCAACATACATACTTCTCTTTCCCCCATCTCTCCATGATAGCTCCATAATGCTTTTAAAATATTGGGTATTTTCTTTGTTATGTTTATGTTAAATTTTTAGTCACATGGAAACTTCTAGAAAACATAGCTACATTCCCTTACTTGCATAACTTTTAGTTTTTCCTGGATTTAGTAATTGCCTCATTTATTTGCTTGAATCTATCATTAACATATCCATAATCTGCCTGACTGAACTCTAAATCTGTATAAATGCAGTCATGCATGGTGGTTTTATGGGGTTTTTGGTGAAACCTCATCCTAGAACCCTCTGTTTGCCCATTCTGATCTGGACTGATGGCTCTATTAGCCTCAGCACAGTTATTTTCCTGGTACTTTCCTTCATCTTCATCTTGGGAATTCCCTCGGCTTCTCTCCCACATTGGATCACAGTTCCTGAATCATTTGTCTTCCTTGATTTGTGCCCTTGATTTGCCCTTGATACACCAGTATTCTCTCAAGAAAGTGCGTAAGTCTGAGGAGTATGGGAGCAGAAGGGATGGATAATGATTTTGAAATTTTGTTGCATGTCTGAAAATGTCCTTTCTATCCTCAAACTTAATTTATAATTTGATTTTCTATAGAGTTCTGTGTTGTAAATTGTTTTCCCTTAAATCTGTGAAGGTTTTGCTCCATTGAATTCTAGCCTCCAGGGTAGCTGTTAGGAAGTCCAAAACATTTGGATGCTAATCCTTGTCTGTAAGCTTTTAAGATACTCTCTTTGTCTCAGGTTTTCCTGATGAGGTCCTTTTCATTTGTTACATTGTATATAAATGGATTCTTTAGAATTTGTGCTCCAAACATTTATTAAATTCTCGCTATATGCAGGAACTATTTTAAAATTCATGTCTGGAGTTCTATGAAATTTTCTTTTATTATTTCCTACCTTCGATTTGCTATTTTCTCAATTTCTGGAGCTCCTCTTTTCTATCTCTTGGATATCCTGACTGATCCTCTAATTTTCTTACCTTTTCTCTTTGATTCTCTATTTCTTTTTCTATTTATTCTCCTACTCAAAAGATGCCCTTAATTATCTTCTGTTCTTGTCTAAAAAAATGCAACTTCTTCTCTTAACTATCAGATTATATTAATTAAAATTTTGAAGTTTGTTTTCATTGTTCTTGTTTCCTCTACGTCCTTTTTTTTTTTTTTTTTCTGTTTTGGATTCCATGTTTAATAATAGCAGATTTTCTCAAATCACTGGATATCTGTCCATTTCAGCCTGAGGTTCTAAAGAGCTGAGAGTAAGCTGTGGGAGCCCAGGTTTATGAATTGCAAGTGTTTTCTCTCAGCCTAGGAAATTCTGCTAAAGCTGGTCCTCCATCCTCTTGCTAAGTGACCTGTAAACCTGGCAGCTGTAATCTGGGATATCTGGGGGAAGGGAGGGGAGAGGGAGGCCCAGGCATCTCACCATTTAGAATGCAGATAACCACCTAATGCCTTCATTTTCAGTACTGGCTTCCCTTCCATGGTTAGCTCACTGGTCCACCAGTTCAGAGCTTCACTTTGATGGGACTCTTGATCATAACCTTCTCATTTCTTCCAGAGTCAAGAGGGACAGCGGACCAGGTATGTGGATGAGAAAAGGCATTGGGAGGTAACAACTGTTCCCTACAATGTTTCATAGATCCATCTGGGATTAGCCATCTCCTGCCTCCCCCTTCTGAGCTGCTTGGTGCCTCCAGTCCCTGAGCCTTTTCAAGGTTCTGTGGTCACTCTTGGCTTTTCTCCTTCAGCATGTAAATTTCCAGAAAGCTCAAATCTCTGTGAGTTACCACTGCCCCATGACTCATCTGCTTTTTTGTCTGCTCCTCTTCACTTTATTCTTGTCATTTGGGGGGCTTTTGAGAGAGAAGAATACGTATTCAATCTGCCACATTTAATTTAAAGTCTGTTTTATTGTTTCTTTCTAGCCATTTTCCCTTTGGTGAAGATATTTTCTCTTCTTACTTTATTCTTCCCAGTCTCCAATTACCTCAAAGCAGTGGCTGTGGCCAGTTACCTGTCTGTGAAGTGGATAGAAAAGCCATGAGGACTGGTTTTTAAGATGATGAGGAGTGAGGGAGAAACTGAGAAAGGTGGCCTGACTTCAGGAACACCCATCCACACTCAGCCTAGGCTTTGGGAATGGATCACACGGGGGATGGGGAAGGGCTGAGGATGGGAGGCAGCTGCTCAGCAACAATGACTTCAGGCTGAGGTTTGCTCCAGCCTTCCTGGAGAGCAAAAGTGGGCCTTGGAGGGATTGTCTGGATCTGGAGAGCTCCTAGAAACTCTAAGCAAATCCAGAGGAGATTGTGGTCACTAGCCCCCGGATTTAGCACCAGTGGACATGTAGTCAAGACATCTGGAAAAACAAATGCAAGAACGGTCTCCAGAGTTTGCTGCATTCATGTCACAGCCCCATGGGTTTGCTAGATGCAGGAACTCTGGAAAACTTGCTTAATTCTCCGAGCCTCAGTTTTTTCAACTGTAAAATGGGATCATTAGCCACACCTTCCCCCTAGGGTTGTTGTGAAGATTAAATCTGTTTATATATATAAAGGGCTTAAAATAGTTGCAGGTACTTAGCAATGACTCAATTAAAAAATGGGGGGTGAGCCTCGTCCGATCATGCTGCATGCCTGACACTTAGTCAACAAGCCTTTTGTGACCAGATGGGTGAAATATATCTAGACATAATCACATGGGACTGTCTTTGTCTGTGAATTTTATGGTCAGTTTCTGTGCTTGGCAACAGAACTTTCAAAGAACTATTTTCATGTTTGCTTTTAGTTGGAATAATTAGCCACATAGCACTGCAATTAAAGAGATGTACACTTTCAAATCTCTTCCAAAAACACCACCAGATAGACAAATCATGACTGATTAACCAAGAGCTATGCTTTGTTTGGTCCAGTAATAACTCTGCCCCAGGCACGTCGGCACGGTCTTCCAGGACTCAGACTGATCAGCAAGGAACCAAATGGCTGGTAATTTCTAATTTATAAACACTGCTTGACGTAGGCAGTCGGGCACGCCGCCACACTGTTATGGCCTGAAATGGCCCAGCCACTTTTCAGTGCACTAAAAGCAATTTCAAGTGGCTTAATAACTCTTTACTCACCTCTCCACTGGGGTCCACAGACACCATTGGATGGAGCCGCCTTCAGTAGCCTCAGGACAAGGGGTTCAGGTTACAGCTTCATGGGGTTTCTAGATGAACAATGCGTATATTGTGAAGGTCCCATCTGTCAAAATAATCAAAGTATAAAGAGGGACATAATACAATTAAACCTTTAAGACGTGTACATTTATCTTTGGTTTTTCAAAACTGATCTCCATTTGGCAAGATTTTCTTTGGCAAAGAAGTCACAAATTGGCATTCTTTGATACAAATTGCGATCTTGCCTAAGATGAATCTCTGGATACAAAGATGGAAATAAGAAGAAGCAACTAGTACTACTGGGAGCGGGTGGGGGTGGGGGGGAATCCTGTTTATAAACTAAGCATTCCAATAAGACAGGTAACTAACTAGCTCAAGTTAAACACAATTTTTATCGTTAAAAACAATGAAACATTTCCTCTAGCTGATAGCATGGGGAGAAGGCAACAGATGGGCAAAGGGAAGAATTGGATAATTCCTGATGGTAAAAGAACGCTGTCCTCTCTGGTTGCTGTGACCCCAGCAGTGTCACCACTGGAATCTACATCCCTCATCACTTCCGTTCTGTTCTCAGGGGCTCAAGCAGGACCTGATTTCTCACTTTCAGCCTATTCAGCAGCTACAGTCATCTCCCAGACCCCTGCTATCTGAGTCTAAGTGAGGTGCTCCTCCACCTGTCGAAATGCCCTCTCTCTGGTCACCCCAAAGTGATGTCTCACCTCCTATTATCATCCATCTATGTAGCAGCTACACACAAGTCCCACAGCAGGGCAGCCGTTCTCTATCTGTAATCTGAGCCCAGGTCGCCACACTCAGATGAGCCATCCTTGGGCCCTGCCAGGGTCTCATGCTGTGGCTACATGATTCTGGTTACGATTTCTCCACACCTGGTTTTCAGTGCATTGGCAGAAATCCTTACCCTTTCTGCAAGAGAACCTTACCTCCTCTTCTCTCTTCTCCATTCCATTAGACCAAGCCAAACAACACACACCATCCAGGGGCTGTGGCCTCTTTTTGCTTCTCTGGCAAATGAATTATTGGGTATTCGGGGCACCTACAACCTTGTCTGGGTCTGGAAGGGCACTGAATGAAAGGCAGACACCCAGACATCCCTTAGCAGCTCTGAATGCCATTAGACTGGTGTCCTTCTTCTAGCAAGGTGCCTTCCATCAAGGGCTCATCATCATTTGTCTAGACAAGATCCTGATCTGTTTAATGAATCTAGTCTTACAAGACAAGAGCACCACCTCAGGACCGACCCTAAAAAATGTGTGTTCAGGAACTCAAATGAAGTTTCTGGGCCACGTTTTGTCTGGCCAAAAGTGGTGGTGTGATACTAAACTAAATATTGGTGGAATGTCCTTGAAGATGATTAGAGATGTACAGTAATTTGTGGGGTCCACTGCTGATTACCATTGACTTGTTCTTCATTTTTCTACATTTATGGCAGAAACAACATCTTTGGGAAAGGAAAGCATTTGCCCGGTCCAGTCCTTATCACATCTGTAAGGTTCCGGCATTTAAAAGCTGGGCTAACATTTACTGTGATCTTGGTCTACTCTACCCTGCAGAAAGGTTCTGACTTTGAAGGGGGTATGGAATTCCTTCCTAGCATTGATATCTTGAGGGAACAACATTGGCCAAAGTCAATCACTAGCTCTGGAGCAAAACTTTTCATAATCAAGACCTCCTTGGGCCACCTATACTGCCACCTCTTAGAAGAGTTAAAGCAGGCCTAGAAACTCAGGTTTCAAGGGATCAGGTCAGTGCTACAAGGCATTTTACCTCTTTGTCAAGTAAGTTAGAAACAGTCAACCAGGAAAATATTATGTCTATCAAGGTGGACTATTTGGGACAGTGGGGTTACTCCATTTCCAGAAATTTTCTGTTCCTAAACTTCAAGTGAAAGCTGAATGAAATGACTCAGTGAAAGTAACTGATCATTAGGCCTTGCCCCCAGCCCTTTAAATGAAACTGATCCACTCATTGTCATGGTTCAGAGATCTTAGAATCCAACTATGAGCATCAGACTCATCACAGACACTTGCCTCACCCTCAGGCTTTCCTACTTGACCCAGTACTCTCAGCTTTTCAATCTTCTGGCACTTTCGGTTCCCCAAACCTGGCTTTAAGGCCTCTTGCTATTTTAGCACTCCACTGGAATCTCTTCAGTGTTTTTTAACCTCAAGCTCCTGCTAAACTGTTAGGATCTCAGCAGGGATTTCTCTACAAGTTTTGGCTTCACAGGGCACCAACTTTCACTCCCACCTCACCATCATGGCCAGGTCAGCTCCCTTAAGCTCTTTTGTTCTTGCTAAAGGAGGATGATTATACATCAACTGCCTAAAGAAATATTGCAATATAAAATATCTTAACTTAATTGTTTTGCTTTTTGCTCTAACTGTATCCCCACTTTCCCCACCCAAGCACACAATGCTATAAGCCAACCCTACTTCATTTTTGGAGACTTCATTTAGATATGCTATTACAGTCTCTTATCTGTACATCCACAGTCATGTCCTCATGCTCTTGGCCCTGAATTAAGCAGCACATTGATACACACAACCACATTCACAAAAAATGTCACTCTGTCTGTCATCCCTAATTCCTGCTTGCACCTGTATTGTCTTTGCCATATCTTGATGATATGATTCTTGGCCACCATTTTTCCCTGGGTTTGGTTAATTAAGTCACTTCTTCCTATTTCTGCCATTTTCTCCAAACTGACTACCCAGCCATCTTTACACAGCACTGAATTCTGAAACAATCCTAGGAGCTGACACTGAAAATTCAGTGTTTTTTCTGAGGACAAAACCAGGACAGATAAGACAAAATTACACTGAGAGAAATGGTATATTAACATAAGGAAAATCTAGCCATGTGGGGTAGCCCACAATGAAACTGCCACAGAAGTGCTGAACTCAATATATTTAAGTTGAGGCCAAATGACTAACATAATAAAAGATTCTTTCTTTGGAAAGACATATACTAGAGAGCACCAAAAAGTCTTTCTACCTGTAATATTATTTAAGAACAATACATTTAAATATTTAAGTGTAACTGAACATTAAACTCAGTTTTGTCTGAGGCACCAAAGGCTGAGAGTAGACATACCCAAGAGAGGTGAGGGGACAGACCCCCTGGAAAGGATATGCCAGGGATTGAGGCTGGTTCTGCCAGCACAGGGAGTCACCATAGCCAGTCCGGAAAAGAGAACGGCTGAAGAAGGAGGGGTAGTCAGAATGCTCTGCCCCCACCTTCTCCAGCCAAGTCTGAGCTTTGCGAGGAGAGTCTGATTTGTATCTCTGTAGTTGAAGGAAGCACAGGAATAAGGAATGGGGCCAGACATAGACTTGAAAAATTTAAAGGCCACAGGAGTGACTAAAGCTGCCTGCTGGTGGCAGAGCAATATGAGACAGAGAATCCTGGGAGGGAGCTGCACTGTCCCCAGTAGGCTCATTTCCCCATGGGACAATTGGAGCTGACCTTGAGCCATTCCAAAAGTCTCCACCCAAGAGGGCTGCCCAAAGAGCACCAGGACTCTAATGGAGAGACTCCATGTGTGATGAAGTTCAAGGGTTCCAGGAGCTGAGGGAGGGAAGGGCACACTGACAAGTGGATGAAGCATCCAAGTGTAGGGGAGGAAGACATTTCCTCTACCCTCTCTGGGTTTGTCTGGCCAGAGAACGAATTAAATTCACATGAGACAGAATAGCAGGAGAAAATTAAACAAAGCTTTATAACATGTATACATGGGAGAGGCTCAGGCAAGCTGAGCAACTCACCAAAATGGCTGAAGCCACCACCTTAAATATCATATCCAGCTAAAGACAAAGGAGGATGTTGGGGGTGGGGGGAGTCAGTTACAGGAGGTTACCAGACAAGCACAATAAACAAATGCATATTTAAGTCCTTGCCTTCCCCTTTGATTAAGAGTTTCTAGAGATAAGGTCATCCCCCCTTCTTCCTGATACAGAGAGGGAGACAATTTTACAGATGGAGATTTCCTTTACAATGTAAATGTCTCTTAACAAAGGGTAAGCAAGTTCCACTCCTCAGAGCTTCCTTCCCTGTCCCAGTTTATTAAAAGTAACCAGCCCCAAATAATCCTCATGCCAAAGAGACATATCTTGGGGTGGCCAATGCCAGTCCCCCACACAAGTATCCATTAAAACTCAGTCAGTGAATACACATTACCATACATAGAGGCCCTTTGAATGTTTTAAGACTAAATGGAATAGATTGCCTGGAATGATGGAGAATTTGGGGAAATATCATTGGAAGACTATATTAGGATCACACTTTGAAAGGCCTTGACTGCCAGTCTAAATTCCATAGTACAAAACATTAAGTGGAATTCAGATAGTTATTAGACTGAGAAAAGTCATGGAGTTAGATAATTGGGGAAGATATTATTTCCCTATATGGACCTGATTTCCCCCAAATCAAACTGAACCAATTTCTCTTAAGGTCTATTCTGTCATATTCTTTCCTTTATCCTTGTATCCCAGCTCTCTCCCTTTCAAAGTTTTTGTTTGTCCATATGCATTGAAGTCATATTTAATATTGCCTTCAGTGTCCTCTGCTAGTATTACTTTGCCTTCTAAAATCATACTGACTTCCTGCTACGATTATCAATTTTATCAGAGATTCCTTATTCCATTTCTCATCCACCAAACCCACACTTTCTGTCTGATGTTAACTTCACTTTCTTAGAACTGCATCTCCTTATATTGATAAATCATGTTACTTAAGTCTTTACAAACTCAACTCAAAACTCGATTTTTCTATGATGCTTATAAGACTTGTGTAGTCATGAACATTCTCCCAAAGGAAAAATTCCAAATTAAAGTTACTGAAAATTATATCCATCCTAAAAAGCTTTAATGTGACCTATCTCACTCCCAATTACTTTTTTATCCTCATCTTAGCCTGGGCTGTTCTTTAAAACAAGGCTGTTTTGAAGGAGATGTGCTGTATGTCCATTTCAATGTTTAAAATTGCTAATAATAACAGTAATGAATTAGATAAATGCTTTTGGTAACTTTCTAGCTCTGAAAGTATTTCGTAATAATAACTATTGAT